CGCCCACCATGCCTACACACACCAACCCACGCACAAGCACACTAACTGCAGTCATTTATTTATATATATATATATATATATATATATATATATCTTATATATATATATATATATATATATATATATATATATATATATATCTTATATATATATATATATATATATATATATATATATATATATATATATATATATATATATATATATATATATATATATATATATATATAAACATATATATATATATATATATATATATATATATATATATATATATATATATATATATATATATATATATAAGTTACTTATCTGTGTATTCAATTAATTTTGTTGTCTCAGATCTGGTTGATATGACGGGCTGACCGGTCAACACTGATTCGAGATACAATATACAGATAAAGTAATTATGCCCCGGGCCTCACGCAGGGGTGTTCCTAGTGCCTGGATGAATCAGACAGATGACAGCTCTACAGAGATGGATGACCAGTCAGAGCACGACGCCCCACCCTCTCCCAACACATCTCCCAGCCACACCCCTCAACCCTCAGCCTTGTCCTCAGAGATAATTGCTCTGATGAAGCTTATGAGGGAGGAAAGGCGTGAGGACGAAGCGAAAAGACGTGCTGCGGACCACCAAAGGAGATTGGAAGATAACGAACGGTTTGCAGCTTTGATATCTAGCCTCACTGCTAATCAAGCCCTTGGCCCTTCCACTGCTCCGGTACCGACTGGCTAAGATACCCCGTCAACGACCTCTACCAAAGTGATTGTCCAACCCTCACCCACCTTGAAGCCTGATGAGACTTTCCAGACTTTTCGGGAGTGGCGGCGACGGTGGACTGATTATGCTACATTGGTGGAACTCCAGAGCTTGCCACAGCCTAAACAACTCATTCAGCTACGTATGTGCCTGTCTTTGGGAACGCAGCATGTGTTGGAATACACGTTGCAAGTGCCCCCGACGTTTTTGTTGTCTGTAGAGAAGGTACTGGATGTTCTTGAACGGCACATCAAAGGTCAGCAGAATGAAGCTCTCCGCAGGAGGGAAGTGTTTAGCTGTAGACAGATGGCGGGCGAGACTTTTGACGATTTCTACCTACGACTCAAGAGAGCCTCGGAAGAGATAGACATATGTCCCGATAATCACCAGCAGTGCGAGGAGACCCAGTTGAATCAGGTGATCCTGATGGGTGTTAAGGATGAGGGGCTTGTCCAACTCCTCACCTCCCTCGACTCTTCCTCCTCTCTTAAGGATGTATTGACAGTATGTCGCTCCTATGAGGCTCCCAGGTGTGCTACCTCTGCCATTCGAGCTCCCCCTACAGCCCTATGGGCTATGTCTCAATACAAGAAAGACAAGAAGTCTACCCCAACGCTTACGCCCACCACGCCCACGCCCAGCTCCCTTTGCAACAGCTGTGGTAGGCAACACGGAACACAGGTGTGTCCACCTGCTGAGTCTACCTGTGACTGGTCACTTACAGTATGATGCCCAGCCAAACGCGTCCAATGCAATACGTGTGGCCGTCTGGGCCACTACGACAAGTGTTGCCCGACAAACAAACCCAAGGGACAGCGTCGGCGAAAGCAGCAGCGCCCTTCCACAAGTGAGGGCCGCCCACAGTCGCCAAGTCAGAGGCACGACGACCCTGGACAACACCCGACCCATATTAGGAGGGTGTACTCCGAACGTCCCAGGACCAAAGTTCCCCAGCACGTCAGCGTCATCGTGACCTACGGCAGTGTGTCATCCTGTTTCGAGATGCTGCCCGACACCAGCACTGAGGCTACGGTCATCGGTCCCCAGCATTTGCAATGCTTGAGGCACTCTCCAAGTGATCTCGGACCTCCTCCCAAGGACCTCCACGTCACGGCAGATGGTTCACAGATGGCCCCAGCCCTAGGTTAACTCTATGCACATGTCACCTTTGGCAACAGGTCGTGTCAAGCCTGGATTGACGTGCATAATGGTGTCCCGACCCCTTGGCTGCCCTACAGACATTGCCAGGAGTTGGCCATCATCTCCCAGGACTTCCCAACACCAATTTTCGAGGTAAAATACGCCAACAGGGTGCACGAAGGAAGCAGCAACTACCCTGCTGCCGCCCTACACCTACCTCTGGCCAGTGACACCTCTCCTTCAGTAGTTGTCCCTGCTGCTTCACGTCCCTACGCCTTGGCTCGCCTCCACGACAGTCACCGTGGAGCCGAGGCCACCAAACGGCGTGCAAGACAGACTGTGTTCCGGCCTGGCATCGACCCCGACATCTCCAATGCTGTCCATGCGTGTAAGCCCTGCCAAGTACTACAACCCAGCCAGCAGCAGGAACCCTTCATGAGTGACGACAACCCCACCCGCCCCTTTGAGTCTCTCTGGTTGGCCGGTTGTCATCAAGTGCGGTAATGATACGACATCTGCCGCCACCATCAGCAAGTTCCGCCACTACTTCCGTTACGTGGGCGTTCCTGTGCGCCTGCGAACCAACGGAGGGCCCCAGTTCACAAGCCGGGACTTTGCTGCGTTCCTCGACCGATGGGGAGTCCGGCATGTGTTGTCACCACCTCATTACCCGCAGTCCAACAGCCATGCTGAGGCTGCTGTCAAATCCCTGAAGCACCTCATCCTCAAAGTGGCCCCTTCTGGGAATATTGACTGCGAGGACTTTGACCAGGGTCTCCTTGAGCTCCGCAACACACCCAATTACATGGAACGCTCCCCTGCCCAGGTCTTGTATGGACGACCCCTCCGTTCTTGTGTCCCTGCTCACCCTCAGTCCATCTCCAAGGAGTGGCAGGCCAAGACAGAGGATTGTGATCGCCGAGCCGCCGAACGTATTCAAGACGTCGTCGCCCGCTACAACGACCACGCCCATCCTCTCTCCAGATTGAGTGTCGGCACCCAAGTCCGTGTTCAGGACCCGATCTCCCTACGTTGGGACAAAGTGGATGTAGTCATGGGTCTCGGCAGGTCACGGGACTACCAGGTACGGTTATCCAATGGTCGTGTGTGGTGGAGGAACCGCCGTTTTCTCCGCCCCGTAACACCTTCTGCTGACCCCATCACCAGTGCTGAGTCCTATATCCCCCCCCCCGCCCCAGTGATCAAGCCCCTCGACGCTCAGAACGGATCCACAGGAAAAGGTCCGCTCAAGACTTTGCTATGAGCGTGTAGGGGGGGGAGGTGTATGTATATTATGTATGTTGTATGTATACCATGTATGTACTCTATTTATATACATTACTTCTCTAGTCAGTCGCGTGTTGCAATGCCCCTGTTTCATGTCACCACACGCTTAGATAAATGCCCCTGGCGACATCTGGAAGCTGCTAATGTACCACTTACCACATGTCGCCTGAGAGGTCAGAGAGAGGTCAGTTGACCCATATAGGAGTGTAAGGACTACCTGTGCTTGTAAGCGCACCCTTGTATATTTCCGTTGAATAGAACCTACAGAACTCTACAGGTGTTTATGTTCGCTCCTGTAGTTAGAACTAAGTACCCCGAACATCTCCAATGAGTCCTTCAGAAGACATCCTCCTAGTGACAGATCAGCATGTGGGCCACCGTGGAGGATGTGATGTGGGCTGGTGTAAGCGCTTCCAGGTCTCTTATGTTACTCGAGGCAGGGGTGATGGGTCGATTATTTATGATTGCTTCCACTTCACAAAATAGCGTTTGCAGTCGATATTCATCCAGGACTTGGGTCCCCACAATTGCTCTGAGAACCTTTCTGACTGTTCGGATTTGCCGTTCCCAGACTCCTCCCATGTGTGAAGCCGCTGGAGGGTTGAATACCCATTCTATATCTTCCTTCTGAAAGTGTCTGTGTATGCGTTCATCATTCCTCCAACTACGCACTGCCGCACGGAGTTCCTTGCAAGCCCCGACCATGTTGGTGCCATTGTCTGAACGAATACGTTTCGGAGTCGTACCCTTTCTGGCGATGAAGCGGACAGTAGCGTTTAGGAGTGCATCTGTATCTAGAGACGTCAACACCTCCAGGTGCACTGCACGAGTAGCTAGACAGGTGAATATGCAGCCATATCTCTTGGTACTCTTTCGTCCTTGTCTTACTGTGAACGGGCCAAAGCAGTCAGTGCCCGTGTAAGTATGGTTAAGGGTAAATTATAGATAGCTGAATATTTTGTTAAGGAATTTATGGTACTCTATTATACACAACAAAAACTCGCATCCTTTGTCTACCCTTTTATAGTCCGATTGTCTTTGTTTTTTTATTGTTGTTACCTGTTGGGATCTGGGTAGACTTTTAACTATATTCTAAATCCCCAACTCGTAACAACTTCTAGTAGTGGGAGCGCGAACTTGTATTGGCTTAGTCATTGATCTCGCCCTCTTACAGTAGTATTCACGTAATTCACATATGCCCTCTCTCCTTGCCTGTTGTCGGCTTGGTCGAACCGCCTCAGCTGATTGCCTTGGTCATCTTCTTGGGGCTCTCTCTTTCTATTCTTTCTTCCTCCGGTTCCACCACTCTGTTCTCTATCTTCGAAGTCACAGTCCTGGCGCTCTCTCTTGAATCCTCGGCCTTCCTTAACGTCAGCATCTACCCTATTCGATTTTATGATCTGGCGGCTGCTCCCACTTGCCTTCCTTGGCGGCACGCCTGTCCCTTCCTTTGGCAAGTGGAGCCATCTTGAATGTGCCTTACCATACCCGTCGATGTCGCATGGGCGGAAGCCAGACATACAGTTGCTAGCTTGGTGCCTTCCCCTTAGGCACAAGAAGCACTAGCCCAACTCTTTGATTGTGTCCCTTTTTTCCATCTTTGTTAACTTCCGGAAGTTTGAGCATTGTGGCAGCCGATGAGGGCCATGACAAAGTGGACAATCTCGTTCTCCCACGTCGTTGGTCACAAGAGACATGGCTTGTTTGCTAGATCGGTCTTTTCCCTCGTACCTCAAGCGAGTGTTTCGAGTATGTGCCCTTTTTGCCTCCTTCGCTCTGCTTTGTATGAACTGCCAGATATCCCTTATTTTCATATGGCCATATCTCTTTGGAGGGTGATCGAGGACTGCAATCTCATACCTTCATGTAAACGACCAGGAAGCCTTTCAATTATGCCTTTTCTTACGAGGAGATGCTCGAGGGTATCTTGTGAGTCCATGGACTCGAAGCTGCAAATGCACGCCTGAAGTTCGTCGGCCAAGTCCTGCAGGCCCTCGCCGTTGGTTATTTTGACAGGTGGTCCGTTGATCAGGTTCATCAATAACTCTTCGATATGGGCGTCCTCATCACCATACCGGTCCTTCAGGGTACTCAGGGCCTTTCTATAGCCCTCAGAGGACTTCATCCTGGTGAATGGGTTCAGAACATTCCGAATATTACTTGAACACGAGTGGATTAACATTTGAAGTTTCTGCGAATCTGGGGCAGTGGAGGTTCCCACATATCTCTTGAAGCTATTCATGTAGTCCCAATATTCTCCACGGCTCTTCCCCTTGAAAGTAGGGATGCGTGCATTTTGCATGTGGTAGGATGACAACATATCCTTCAGTGAAGTTGAGGTGCTGCCGGATTCTTCCTTGCCGCCGTACTTCTATCTCCTTTCAGGCTGCTCCATTTCAACTCGTTGCACGTCTTCGTCTTTGTCGATCGATTCCTCATGGCCCTTGGGGCGCCTCGTCATCACAGTGGGAGACTTGCCAAGAGTCCCCCCTGATGTTGTCTTCGGCCTGGGTTGGTCGCTCCCTTCGTCCAAACGTCGTGCTGTGTTCCTTTTTGCAAAATATGCTTCCAGCATTTCAGTCACAGTTCGTCGCACTTCTGCCATTATGTTAGATCCGGGATTTTGGTCAGGTGCTGAGCATTCAGACTCAAGCAGAGGGTGGCCCCTTTCAGCTTCTGTGGCCGTAACATTGTGGTCGCTCAGCTCCGGAGGGACAACTTCTGCCTCTGGGGCTCGGTCACCTTTATCCATGTTCACATTTCCCTTTCGTTGCTCTGGATCCATTCCCACTACCTCTGGTCCTCTTATAGAGAATTATTTTCAGCTCCGGTTAGGTCTCAAAGTTTGTTCAATGAACCACTGCTCACTGACTGTATTTGCGCTCGGTTGTGTGGCTCGCTGCTTGTGTGTATGTTTGACAATAGTAGGTCACTGTTGGTTGCTTATGGTGTTACAAGTGACACTTCACTTTCGGTTACTTACGGTGTTACAAGTGAATCACTGCAGGTTGCTTATGGTTACAAGTGGATCACTGCAGGTTGTTTACGGTGTCACAGATTGGGGTGATATTAAGTTAATTTAGGGACACTTCACTGTCGGTTACTTATGGTGTTTACAAGTGAATCACTGCTGGTTGCTTATGGTTACAAGTGGATCACTGCAGGTTGTTTACGCTGTCACAAATTGGGGTGATATTAAGTCAATTTAATCACACTTTCCTTGTAATTCGTTAAGTTGGTTTTTTGTTACCTCAAACCCGGTCAGCTGCCCGTTATGATCACCGGTGCATACACACACATACACGTATAATCACTGGGAGGGTGGGTTTGCCTCACTGGGTGCGTGGGCCGGCTCGTTACAAACAAACGCTCACAGCACCGTACGCTTGAACCGAAAACTTTATGACAACCCCTCAGATATTTAAACACTTCATTCAAACACACGACACTGTCTCCCGCGCCGATGTCCCACCCATTGTGGGTGGGTGGCTGATTGACGATCTACGTTGTTCCACGCTGAACTCCTCGGGTTGGTGACGTGTCCTGCGGTCCTTTTTTCTCCTGGTAGTTGAGTATTCCCTTCGATGCCCTCCCGCATTTGTTTTGACTGTAAACCCCTTAGTTAAGGACGTTCAGGTGACGGGCAAGTCGAAGGGAACGATTGAAACCCGTCTTTTGACGCATTCAATATTTATTGATGTGGTCAAAACCTGTAGACAACAAGGCGTTCATTAGTATTACATGATGATCTATCTAATACATAATTAGTTGGTCTCACACAATTTATCTTAATTATAATTGATTATTGAGCAGCATGACATGATACAACGTTCATAACTCTATAAATCTTAGCTACACTTCATTCCGCGTTCTTATTGCTCCAGATAAGGCAGGAACGAGTGGGCACAATTAGTCCACAATATTCAGTACTGAGGGGTATGTCATCACTTTGGCTGTACTTACAAGTGCGGGTTAATACGAACCAGTATGGTGTTCCAAGGGAAGATAGTTCTGTGTAAATTGTTCCAGTACAAAAAACTCGGCCAGGATTGGGAGTTGTTGTTCACCACTGCTAGCAGAGTGTTGATCCTCACAGCATCACTTGAGGGGGCAGTCTCCTAGAGTCTAGGTGGCCACGCCGCCTTTTAAACCATACATTAGCAGAGTCAGGACCTCTTCTCCATAAACACCGCCCACCTCCTAATCTTTGTTCGGGTAAGGCAGCAAAAACGTCAGCACTGACACTAGTGCTGACGCCAGTGGCGATGACACTCCCGGCGGTAAACACCGCCCCCCCCCCCCAGCTGCCACATCTGTTGAGGTAACAGGTCGCGTGGTGGGGGGGCGAGAGGGGGCATCACTCGAGAGGGCGATCTGTGTCATGAGATCCATGCCACCCTCTCAGCGCTCACGCCAGCGGTAATGACACTCCCGGTGGTAAACACCCCCAGTCGCCACATCTGGTGTGGTAACAGGCTGCGTGTGGGGTGGGGGAGGCACGTGGTTGCTGACACCAACGATAAAAGCCAATGGCGATAACATCCCTTTGCCTTACTCTAATGAAGGCCTTTGTTAAACCACCAATGTACGTAATAAGTCACTTATGTCCATTGTATATTTTCAGCCTTCGGGCTGCAGAACTTTTTCATTAAACCGTTAATCATCATCATCATCTTCACACACACACACACACGCGTGTAACCAGTTTAGTCTAGTTTAGTCTGTAGTCAGTATAACAACCAGTGTAATGTACACCATGGATGCATAAGTTTTCATTATGCATTTTACATTGACCTGCAGGGGTCAAAGATGTTTTTCGTAGTAAGCATTTAGCAAGCATTCATTTAGCTTGGTCACATACAGCTGGTCAAGTCACGAGCACTGTTCTGGCAACAGTGTGTCGCCTAGAGATGTCTCAACATGATGAAATCACCTTTGAAGCTCATTACTTACTTAATTAATGACTCTTACTTGATGACTATATGCATTGCTTAACACTTGTAAATCTCAATTATTTTATGTAAATTGTTAGTCAGCTGAGTTAGAAATTTGCAACGTCAATTAAGGATGATTCATGGCTCAACGAGATTATTTTCCACCCAGCTATTTATAAAACATTACAGCAACGCTGCTGACACTGAAGTCAGGTGGTCATACTATAGCAACCATTCCTTCTGGTACAAGCTTCTAGAAGCTTGAAAACCATGCATCATCATTCGTGACGTCATTGTGAGTTAGCCCTAGGGCGTGACCGTCTTGAAGAGCCAGACAATCTTTCGCTGGACACCACCAATTACAGATCTATCATTGAGCAGTCTGAGTGAGAAACCACTTCAGTTCTAGCATATCTAACACTGAGTCTACCTCAGTCCTGGAATATCTAACACTGAACTCGCCTCAGTACTGGGTCAAGTGGTCAGCTTTCTCTGTATATAAAAATGTAATTATATATATATATATATACTGTATATATATATATATATATATATATATATATATATATATATATATATATATATATATATATATATATATATATATATATATATATATATATATATATATATAACTTCAGCAATGGACTTGTTACGTGGAAAGCGTAGTTTCATAACGTTTCGAAAAATCATTTTCCATCATCAGAGCCTAGAAAACAAAAGTTTTGAAAAAGTTTAAAAAATACAGGTGATATACAGACGAAAGAGACCTACGTACAAAGCATAAAATCAGGAATAACAAAGTGTGAAATAAAAATATACAGGTGGTATTACCTTAATTCAAACGAGCCTTAGTGCGAAAAACACAACAATTCACAGGAAGCCATATCACAAATGGATGGCTTTACTTTATACTGATGCAAGGCTGATTTTTCCGAAACGTTAGTGATTAAAGAAACCCAACTTAGTCAAGATGTTTGTGTATTCCCTGGTTCTCCTCTTCGTTATATATATATATATATATATATATATATATATATATATATATATATATATATATATATATATATATATATATATATATATATATATATATATATATGTTATTGAGTTGGGGATTTAGAATATAGTTATACGTCTACCCAGATCCCAACAGGTAACAACAATAAAAAAAAAAAAAACAAACAAAGACAATCGGACTATAAAAGGGTAGACAAAGGATGCGAGTTTTCGTTGTATATAATAGAGTACCATAAATCCCTTAACAAAATATTCAGCTTATAAATTACCCTTAACCAAACTTAACCTAAACATTAACAGTATATACATATTAATAAACATAAAACAATCTCGAAGCAAGTGGACGTGGGGGAGTTAATACAGGATAATAGTACTTAAGTGAGGAGCTGAGATGGCTGACGAGTAAGGCTGAGTATTGTAGAAGACGGTAGGTAGTCACTGCACGTAGGTTTAGAGGATAGATGATCCTGTGGTCACTTCCCAGAGCCAAGTCCCTCTCCTCGAATTGGAGCTGACAAAGAAGACTTTGAGGAGGTGACGCAACCCAGGATATGGAGAAGGGAAACCTCGGAGTGGTAACTAAGACGAGTCATACACGTGTCTCGTCCCTAGATGGCGTTGCTCGTGGTGGTGGGTAGGTAGATCAGGACAATAGATGGCGTGGTTCGTAGTGCGGGGTGGAGGGGTTCGTAACAATATATATATATACACAAAACGACGTGTATCCGTCCACCCATTTATTGAACAAATGAACTAAGGTAGACATCAATTAATTATCGACAATCTCAGACATCTTGCTGATCACAACGGGACTCTAAATAACTACAAGCAAATTCCTTTTAAGTGGGACGGTCTCCTGGCAAGTACCACTCCTTATAGGCCCTATAGGTTTATAGGCCTCATATGCACACACACACACACACACACACACACACACACACACCTTCCTCATTAGAGCTACATTATACCCCGACAAAGGTGCCATATATCTTTGCCATACACTTTAAAACACTTTTCGACAGGGTATTATTTTCACAGCTTTTCACATCTTTATTAAATCACTGCAGAAAACTGACTACAAACAAACTCAAGTCACAGTTTATCAACCTTCTTAATTATGGATAAGTTTGTCTACATGAATCACTTAGTTCATAGGTTGTGTATATCACTGAAGCATGTTAAGTAGAAGACAATATCTGTAATGGGATGAAAGAAGGTGGCATTTATTGAATTACCCAGATGTTTTAACCTTTTCTTGAATTCCTGGGTGCTGGCAGATGAACTGTTTGACGGCAGAGCAGGGTTGAGTACTGAGGGGTGGGTGGTTGTCTTGTTTCATCACGATGCACTGATTTTCTTGGGTTGTCCAGTTGCTTGGGTAGCCCTCGGTCCACGCACTGGGATTGATGGAGCTCCCGTCCACCCAGGTCCAGATTCCGTCATGTTGTTGACCGCCCAAAAACACCGTATTTGGACCTGAATGTATTTATACATATTTATGATACGTTGTGTATACTTAAAGTAAAGCAGGTAGAAGAAATGAAGTCTTAACTTAAGAAAAAATTGCTGCTGAGAAAAAGTCTGACATGAATTACTGAAAGAAAGAAATGCCATGAATTTTGTTATATTTACTAGCAAAAGTCAAGGATTGCGCCTAAGCCACTTCAGTCTGTTTCATGCATTTACTGACTCCTACTTAGCTGCAGAGACATATGTGTACTGTACATATATTAATATTAGAATCGGGGATCTTATACCTGCTTTTCCCATAAGGAAGGACTTGAGGGCGAAAACACGTTTGGGTTTGGCGAGAAGACCGTCCATGCCGCGGCAGTGTTGACGGGCCTGTTGCCAGGTCAGGTTATTGAGACTCAGGTAGAAGCACTCGTCTATCACCCTGGCGAAGGGAGGAGGACAGCATGGCTCTGGAAACCAAAAAAAATATTGATGCCAAATACTTCGGAAGCTGTTATTGTTAACGGGTCCGAGTCACCAGGTGAGGTAAACCAGGCGTCTTTGTTTACCCTCATATCATTATAAATTAAATTTTGTTATTGTCGTAACAGTATTATTACCGTGACATCTTAGCACCATCGGAGTCATTTTGTACATCTAATAACGGATGAGTTGTGGCGTATGAGGAAGCACCATCTCACATCAACACAGGTCCTGCCTTCGGTAATATCACGTGGTCACTTGGGGCCGAATATGATGATCCCCCACCATAATAAATCGCATACAATAAAAATTAAAAACTTTGGGTTGTGAGAAATCAGTTTCACGTGTGTCCAGAAGAGGAAGTTATTATTTTGTTACAGAAAACGTTTGAGGACAGGAAGTATCCCCACACCAGCACTCAACACTTAAACATAAGAAGGAAGCGGAAGAAATATTGACTGAACTTACTCAAGAATAAAATAAATAAATACAGCGAGATAGGCCTACAACAGGAGAAGAAGGGATATTACTCAAGAATTTATACTGAATGTCTTAACATAGAACAGTGGTTAAGTTAGACAGTACGTACCTTGGGCACATATGTGGTACTTGCGGGAGAGGTCAAGCATCTGGTATAGTGCCCACGCCTGCTGAGAGAGTGACTGCTGCATCCTCTTCAACGTCAAACTCATTTCCTCCATATTAACGCCAGAACTGCTGGGAAAAGGAATCGGCATGGCGGACGACACTAAGAGGAAGAGGTCGAGGACGTGAATTACAACAGCCATGACGACTTGCTGGTTATGTGGCAGCTACCAGACACACACCACTAGCTGCCCTCAACTGTATCCAAAGGAAGAAGAGTGAGGATTTTCAGATATGTACAGTGTTGCTGGACGAAACAATACCACGCATATCTGTGGGAGAAAATTCATAACTTGTATACGGTTTTCACAAAGTTCTTTCACCACAAGAGATCCATTATCCCAGGTGATACAGTACTGAGACACCCCAAAACTTGCCTGATGTTTAAGAACCTGTAAGCTTTTAACACCATCTTATAATAATCTATCTCGTTATATAAGAAAAAATACCAAATAAGAAGTCGATATATTTTGCTATGAACTGTATTCTTGTACACACGGATCTGATGTGTTGGCCACGAATAGGGGAGAAAGTTTTCCTTGAATTTGTATAAAAAAGCAAAGAAAGCAAAACCAAACTAAACCTAACTACACACACACATACATACACACACACACACACACACACACACACACACACACACACACACACACACACACCAGTCCACCACTATCAGATATTATGATTCACCACTTCTCACCACCACCAGTTCTCCTCCATTTCTCCATCAATTCTCCACCAAATAACACCACCTCTTCACCGAATTTCCTCTCCATGCATATACGGTCTGGAAACTTTTCACTTAACTGAGGACGGTGGGCGAGTGAATGGTCGCCAGAGAACCAACTTTGCTCTCGTTCACTTACACTGCTACAAAGTTTTGCTCGGCTGTGTTGGTGTGGGTGGTCGACGGCCTTACTAATATACACATGTACATCTATCAATACAGTATACAGGGTTATCGAAAAAGAATACTCAGATTTTATGGGAATATAGAGTAAAATCTGGGTTTTCTTTTCCGATGACTGTATTTACTGTACCGTATGATGCTAAGTATATATTTGTTGAAGTGCAGGAACCCATTCAAGATACAAACACAAGAGGTTCAGTTATTATTTTGGGGTGAAACAAAGAGAAGTTGATGTTATAATGTTATTTCTGCACTGCACTTATTGGGGTGTTTATGTGCCTAATAAGGTTAGTAATTACGCTAATTTATCAATAATTACTCTGCTAGGAACAAGATTTGAGTGGTAGTAGAGGTGGCAGTACTAGTAGTAATGATAGTAGTGGTGGTAGTAATTAAAGTAGTATTTTTCCCACTAAAGGCGTTTTATAGATGAGTGCAACGTGTGTGTGTGTGTGTGTGTGTGTGTGTGTGTGAAAATCGAGGTTTTCCACCCTCACATCATGGCATGTTGTGTGTGTGAGTAGTTTTAGTGTTATTTGGAATACAAAATATAGTGTCCTCATGTGTATCTGTTGCCAGTGGGACACAAGTTCTCTTCCACTCCACTTATGTCAGGGATTAAGAGTTGTTCAAGGTCTGTGAGTCTTTCATATTACCAAGTACCCAGAGAGAGAGAGAGAGAGAGAGAGAGAGAGAGAGAGGATGCGACTTACCTTGGTGAAGAGGTGATGGTGAGTGGGTGTTCTGTTTTCACCTGTAGGAGCGGCCGTCACCAGGGCCTCTTGGGTGTGCTGTGTAACCCCCAAGGTTATATTTGTGTTGCTTTGTCACAATCTACGCGGTGTGAATAAACGTTGATTGTTTGGAATCGGATCATTGTTTCGCGAAAGTCAACAGCCATCTTGCACAAGGCTCAGAGACCAAACATGTGCATGTAGTGAAACTGATATCTGCTGTGAGGTTGACATTTTACGCAAAAGAAGGAATTGAAATCTTTTTTGCTTTGGGACCGAAATATATTTGTCCTGAAAGTACTTAATAAATGTATTCTTACGCCATGCTACCAATTCCTATATATAGACTCACTAGAAGCTCAAAACTTTTATTCCAAAATGTTACCTAGCCAAGGTGTTAAGTTGTTATTACTGTTGTTAACCGTATTATTAGATGGCAAACATCTACAACTGATACTGTGAACCTAAACTTGTACGTATTGGCAAGTGTCAACAATAAGTTACCTCGCCTCACCTCCCGCCCGAGTGACGTATTTATAGGTATATACGGTATAATTCTTCATGTGTCGTCACCTGTGTATACCCCACACCTCATCTTAGCTCTCTCTCTCTCTCTCTCTCTCTCTCTCTCTCTCTCACACACACACACACATATACTGTTTAAATACACAGTGGCTCACAAGCTGGGTAACACACATCATAGTTCCCATTTTGCATCGCAGAATCTTACTTAAACTGACAGATAATGTTTACGGAACTTTCTTTTGTTGTATTTCCGTTACAGCTGTTTTTACCGTTGTTATTACATTAAGGAATTCGTAAGAGGTTTAATTCATATCTTACAGACACCAGGAAATAAACTATTATCAATCATATTATTTTTCTCGACTCGAAATACTTGAGTTAAAAAGTATAAATAACACACATCAAATTAGTCAGTTAAAGAGTTCGTGACAAATCTATTAAATTATTACGAATCTTTATAATGGTATAGTTGATTATTTACCTCAATAATGTGGCGACGTAGATTAGTATGACATTGAAAAACAAATTAATGAAAAATTATTCTCTTTTTAACGCGATGGATATATCGGAAGATTTTTTATAGAGGCTCCCTGCTTCTTCACTCTCTGCCCGCTCTTGTATTGGTGTTTTCGTCTATTTTTCACTTCTTCTGATCTAGATAGAGCATCAGAGCGCTCCCTCCCCCTCCCTACTTTAATGCATCATTCTGAGAAGCCTTTTGACGTCGCCTTCACGCGGATGATACGTCACTGTTGGGGTCATAGATGAGGAGGAGCGTCATTGGTGGGGTCTTGGAGGGGGAGGAGCGTTAGTGATGGGGTCTTGAAGGAGGTGGAGCGTTAGTAGTGGAGTCTTAATGGAGAAAGAGCGTCAATGATGGGGTCATGAAATAGGAGTGTCATTGATGGGATCTTACGGGAGGAGGAACGTCATTGATGGGGTCTCAGTGGAGGAGGAGCGTTAATGCTGGGGTCTTGAAGGAGGAGGAGCGTTATCAATGGAGTCTTAATGGAGGAGGAGCGTTAATTCTGGGGTTTTGGAGGAGGAGGAGCGTTAATACTGGGGTCTTGGAGGAGGAGCTTCAGTGATGAGGTCACAGTGCGCGGAGGAGGAGCATCACTTCTGAATCAGATCTCATTGACTATGTTCTGGCTACACGTCAAATGGGCCCCAGTCCTATGAGATACCGAACTAACCTAAACTACCCTACCAGAGAGGATTAGTGGCCATAGGATAGAGGCCCATTAAGACTGGGTCCCAATTTTAATTATTAGATTCGGTTCAATTGGCTTCTATTACGGCAGGTGCAACTAACAAAAAATATTATTCATGTAACTTGCTATCAGTAATGAAAAGTTCCTCTGAAAACTTTTTATTTTGGAGAATGATGCATAAGGCAATTCAACCCTGTGATGGACACAATTTACTATTCCTCTCTGTGAGTGTGCCTCGACGATGACTAGTTCCTGAAGGATCCAACACAGTGAGGCAATACAGGAAGGGCACATCACGAGGGAAATCATGCATATCCTGAGAAGTACATTTGGAGGAGATGCATCTTAGTGGGGACCCTTTGACAGCACCTCAGCAGGGACTGTCAGGTGTGTCAGCACTACCTAAGATCCCTGTAGGTATGTGCCTGAGGAAAAACCCTCGTCAATACATCGACTTTAGAGGACACTGGAGATATTGATCTGTCTTCAGATAAAAAATCGGCCGAAGATAAAAACGTTTTGAATATTCTAATATAAAGGAAATACAGGCGCCATCTTATAAATACTGAGAATAGGGACCTAATCATTAAGCAGGGCAGTGGAACGTGAATCATTATGTCTGAGATTGTGTTGAGACGCTTGTCTGAGTTGTGCTCCCGCTTATGCTCCATACGCGACGATTTTGTTTTCTGTTAAGTTCTCTGTCCTGTACTGATTGGAGTAAAACACACTTAAAGAGACGTAGAATAAATAAATAAAACGTTGACTTTCGAGGACCTGAGAAGGAGCTGTAAGGACTCGGTGTGGCGGATAAAAGACAAACAAATCAACAAATAGCGAATAATCTAACCTGCGAGTGACAACAAAGATAAGACTCAAGAAAATACATGTGAATTAGTATATTCGGCCCTACAGTCCAAGTAGGCCTTAATTTAACCTACTGTAATGTTGCCTAACTTTATCAGTAAAGGTGAATTTGGATTGTGTGAATTGTGAAGTTTAATTTTAATCGTAAATGACACTTTAATATAGTAAAATAAACACTGGTTTAAGAACCATAGGTTACAGTGGGATGCCCATGATCAAGAATGTAATAATCGTACATCCGTCAGTGATTGTTTCAAGTTATGCTGTGGTGAACACTTGGGAGAGAGTGGTGACCTGAGATACAATAGTTGAAGAGGGATGATCGGGTCAGGTTGAGATGACCATTAGCTTCAGTTTGATAATTAAATTTGAAACAGAAGAAACATAAACTGATCTTGAAACAAAAAACAAAACGTAAACTTGACCCGTCACAGAATTCCTTCTTTCCTGAACCGATTCACCAGCCCAACTAGTTTAGGTCAGATCAAGATGACAGTAAAATTCCTCCGGGATTGTGTTAGCCGATAGTACGTCCTCATTTTAAGCGTATAAAATACAGCGCACTGAATACAAGATTCAGTTTCATGTTACATAGTGTGTTAATAAACACATATAAATGTTAAAAATACATCTTCAAAAATCCTTTGCTGTGAAAATTTGCGATTATAAAATGAGACCATATTGGCAGCCATTTTCAAGAAAACGTGTTTGCAGTGAATACATTTAGTTGGCATATTTGGAATCCTTATCCATCAAACCTATGTTTTGACACCATAAACATGTTCCGATGATGAAGATCTGGACAAAAACGTACTGTATATATTGCAATATCGTTGCGACCATCTTGAATTTCTCCCTTACTGCCGGGTTCTTTAGATGTTCCTTTCACAAAATCAGATAATCACAAAATGAGAGAGAGAGAGAGAGAGAGAGAGAGAGAGAGAGAGAGAGAGAGAGAGAGAGAGGATTGTATAAATTTGTTTAGAGAATGATAACTGTATGCAGGGTGAGAAGTAAT